GTGGGTGAGATGTCAGTCCTGATATCAGCATCCATGCATCTGTGCCAGTCCAGTCCCTTTTCATGGATAGGTTTCTCTGCCCCAAAGATAGGTTTCTTGCTTTCTATGCAAATAACTTCTCATACACAGTCTGACCTGTTTGGAAATGGGTTGGAGGCTTCAGGGGTCTTTGGTGGTCTTGATCACCCCCCTACAGGCCATACTCACTTGTGGCCTCATTTCTGTCCTGATGCTGCCCTGTGTTGTGCTTCTCTCCAGGAGCTACAGCAAGGATGTTTGTCCCAGTATCAATCTGCCTACCTCCGCATGGTCCCTTCTCCAGCCACATCCCATTTTTTCTCACAGAATCTTCAGGAACTCCTGAAGGCACAGCTGGGCTCAAAATAACAGCTCAGGCACACAATGCCCCATGGATCTTGTTTGGTTCCTTTCATGCTCCTCCTGCCCAGAGCTTCTGGCACAGACACCATCTGTGTCCATCTCACTGAGCACTGGTGTAGGAGCATTAGAAGATGAGGGACTTGTGTCTCAAACCCACAGCTTGATGGCTGTGGAGCCACCTGAGGGTTCTTGGTAAGAAGATGCTGTGAGAACAAACAGGATGTGGCTGGAGAAGGGGCCACGAGGAGGTAGGACAGCACTTTTCTGGGGCAAATATCCTTGTTCTGCCTGGATACTCCATTATGGGAATACAGCTGGAGAGCAGGACTGGAAGTACTGCTCAGCTTGTGACCAATATGGATGTGTTAACCGTAGTAGGCCATAAGCCTTGGCAAAACAAAGCAGAACCCCGAAGAAGTAATGCAAAAGATAACGGTGTACAGACTGTGCCTTGTTTGAGAGAAATCATGCAAGACCATACGTGCTTGTACAGGTCTGTGCAAAGCTATGATTAAGCAATGTTACTTAGTTATGTAAATGTTTTGGTTGTGCTATTTTTAGCTATAACTGAAATGGTATATATGTGTGGAACAATAAACTGGCTTCATGCTTGCATCAAGCTGAGGTCCTGTCTCTTTGCCAGTTGTCAACACTCCTTCAGCTGAATCAATGCTCGAGCCAGGACTGGGGATCTGTCTTCCTTTCTTTCATTTAATGTCTCTCTCTTGCATCTCCTTCACTATATCATATATTGACAATTGTCTTTGTTTAAAAGACAGATGTCTGCCAAGGAAGGCAGAAACCTTCATGAAATGGAAAATATGACCCCTCTCCCTTCAAATTATAATTACTTTGAAATTACAGGGCTTTCAGACAAAGATATAGGAAAAGGAATAGCAGTCCTTTAGTAATAAATATATCTATAGCAGACAAACAACAACTCCACCATCAGCGACACCAAACAGAAGCAGAGCCCAGTCCCAGCTGCTCTCGGCTGCAGGCACTTTCCCCTTGGGTGCAGTTCCGGGCACAGCCAGCAGGGGCGCTGCTGGCTCGCGGCCGGGCAGGGCGGGTGCGATGATTGCCCTGCAGGGGGCGCTGTGGCGCCAGCTCGGCCGCGTCTCCCTCACGTGGTGATGGCGGCTCAGGCGCGGGAGGAGAGGGGAGGCCGCTCCCTTTGCCAAACTCACGGGGAGCAGCCGGGCTCAGTGCCGCTCTGGGTGGGGAAATGTGCTGTAGCAGGAACCTTGGAGTGGCGAGCTGGAACCACAGAGGTGAGCAGACTTGGGAAGGCAAATGAAGCGTAGCAAAAAATCCCAAGGCCATGGCAGGAGCAGCGGGGTCCAGGTGGTGTGTTGAATTAAAATGTAGCAAAAAGCACCAAAGCAGGGGCAGAAAACAGCGGGGCTGGGCAGCCCCGAAAGGGGAGAGAAGATGGAGAGAGGGAGTTGTTTTGGGTATTCCCCTTGCTCTCATGTCTCCCGTGTGATGTCCTGGGGAAGGCAGAGATAGGCTCCTGCAAGCAGCCAGGAAATGCTCCCTTCAGAGAGCGGGAGCACATCTGGGTCCCAGGCTTCCCCCGAGCAGATGGTGAGGGTTCTTCCCAGTAAGATCCGGTGTAGATGAAGTCCCAGTTCAGTAAGGTAAGGAGAGGCAGTGAAGACCAAAACTCTGCAGTGGCAGTGAATTCTCCCCACAGATGCAGCCCAGGACCAAGAGAAAAGACTCACTCACTCACTCACTCACTCACTCACTCACTCACTCACTCACTCACTCACTCACACTCCTGTTCTAATTCTCCTTTCTGGCTCCTAAAAGAGCTGAAAAGAGTAATATCTTAAATTTTATTACAGGCAATTGATTGTCTTTAGCTGCTGCTGTTCTAAATTCTGCAGAACTGGTAACCAAATTTAGAGAACCTCCCACTCGTGTATAGCAACTCAGGATGCAAAAGAAATGTTTTTTATGATTCCATGCCAGGATGACAAGGCTCAATTTGCACTTGCCTGGAAGGGTGGACAATACACCTTCATCAGGCTCCCATAGGGGTATAAATATTTCCCCACAATTGTACAGGCTGTGCTTACCAAATATTTACAGACAGTCTCACTTTCTCTGGACATGTAATTTTGTAATATTCAAATTGCAAGAGACACCACCACCCCCTCTGAAAAAGTGGGTGAAGCAGCAACAGTAGTGTGGCAAGCAGTTAATGAACTAGAAGCTGAGATTACACACCTGAGGCCAAACTGGCCCTGATGGGCCAAAGACGTTTTTATTACTTGACTAACTGCATTTAAAGAGACAGAACGCAGATACTCTGAGTGAGAAAAGGTACTTTTGTCATTATTCCAAGCTGTTATACAGCTTGAGCAACTAAGGAGTAACCTGCCTAGGCCAACTCTGCTGAGACTTGTAGTGTTTTATCTTTCCAGGAATATTACCAGGAATTGTGCCAGCACATCTCACTGAAGATTGAGTTACTTATCAAAGAACTGCTTATCATTTTTGTAGGAGCAATCATTGCCAGCAGGAACCAAATTTGGTTCACACATCAGCAAGCTCAACCCACAGGTTGAAACGCTCTCTTCTTTCGCTTATGCTAATCAATATGGTAACCATATGCATTCTGGACTACACACATTTCTCTCTTGTGGGTACAATTTACTGTGGCAGTAATTGCAAAGGAAGGCGGCATTCAAAAGGTAACCTGGGACAATACAAAAGGGAATTCCACTCCTAGCAACTAGATAATAGTAGTGAATATTAATTTTCCTTTATGACCCCACTAACTGTACACCACAGGTTTTTTTTAACAGTACATGGTGCTTCAGTATGTCCCATATACCCAATCATTGTGTCAGGATTAAATCCCAATGGAGGTGCACTCTAGCCCCTAGAGCACAGAGTATGGGCCTGATGGAATGGATGTGCTTGTGTGAGAACCCCTTGTGATTTTGTATTTGTAGACAACGTTACTGTACATACATGTACCATAATATTTGTGCTTGTAACTTGGCTGGTATTATGGGATGTGATTTTGGTTATTCAGCTCCTCTTATATCTTACCAAATGTTATCATTTAATTATACACTGACTTAAGACCAGCAGCCTATTTCTACTGAATGAATCTCACTTGCATGTGAAAAATTCTATTTAAGTAAACTTGGGAAAACAGACAGAAATTCTTGATTACGATTCATCCTGATGTAGAAAAATCCACTGACTGATGGAGCAACCAAAGAAAGACAGGGAACATAATTGTTGGGACATTTTATTTGGATGGTCACCAAGAGCAACTGAAGTTCTTAATAAAACGTTGCACCCTGTGATTGTCCTGATGTTAACCTTTTTGCCTTTTATTTTCGTAATCAGATTGTATATTAAATTGCGGGTGATTATAAAGATATTAACCCCCAAATTCAGAGATGGCTTATATAGCTTTTCCCTTTTCTCTCTCTCTTTCTCTATTTCTCCTTTTTCAGTCCAAGTCCATATTGATGAGCCACAGATGGTGCAGAAGCCTACATGATAAGGTGCCTCAAATACCAATAACCAGATAGCCATGGAGCCAACCAAGGATTGTTGGTAAGAAGGCAATGTGAGAAAAAAACAGGCTGTGACTGGAGAAGGGGCCTTACAGAGGTAGGCAGCCCATTTTTGCAACAGATATTCTTGTTCTCTCTCCTGGAAACAAGCACAACACAATACAGTGCAAACACACGTATGAGGTCACAAAGTGAGTGTGGACTGTCAACCAAAGGTTAATCAGCCAAAGGTTGATACAGCAGCAGTGGGCACTGATTTGATCAAGGGCCTCATCCGGAAAGAACTCAATGGACAGATTACATATATTCATATATGAAAGAAATATTACAAATTTATAATAAAGCCATAAGACATATGCATAAATTCAGCTGAAAGTCATTTACCACTGCTTTAGCCCAAGTATGGCTGATAGCAAACTTGTGAATTACCTCAGCCCTGCATGTCTGGATACCAGCTGAGCCCTGCCTGTGCTGAAGGAATGTATCTCATCTATCCATGCTCCTGTATGCAGGCCATGGATTGTAGACTAGATAATGGAGAGGAGGAGAAGGAAGAGATGACGTTGTAGGCTGTTCCCAGACGTTGTTTTTCCCTTTCACAACTGTTGCCAAACATTGGAGCCATGGTCTTGCTGATAATCTTTGGCTGTTGAGTAAGCAGGGATGACTTTGTCGGCTTCAAGGGAGTTGAACCCTCTTCTTCCTCCACCTTTTTCCTTTAGGAATATGTAAGGTCTGCCAGAAAATGAAGGATGACGCAGAGGCCAAAACTTGGATGCAAAAGTATTTTATTGAGTGTAAAGAAAACGACATGCGTCACAGAGAGTACCAGGAGCAGACACTAAGATGCAGTGGAGCTCCTGCAAAGAGTCCATCTGCCTGCCCTAAAGAGGAAGGGAGGGCAACCGGTCCCCCTGAGCTGGCTAGGGGACACATGGACAGCACAGAAAGAAGATGGAATAGTAGGAGAAAGAAACATCATCCTATAGCTGTAAATAGAGTGTCCAGAAGCTCTATCTCCTGCCCAGAATCATGTTCTGCCCAGAACCATGTTCTGAGATCGTAGAGGTTCTTGCCCAAGGACACTGCCAGCAGATTTAGCAGGGACGGCATCTGCTGCCACCATAGCAGTTGGTGATGCAGGAGAGGTCAAAGCCCCCGGAGCTGATGGGCACTCCACCACTGCTGAGGATGCTGCCAACAGCAGCGGAGGTGGAGGATCCCACCACGGTGTTCTGTGGGAAGGAGCTGAGGATGGGGCCAGGCAGGGTCACCACCACAGGTGAGGGCTGGATGGCCACGTGGGAGTCCTGGCACTGCCTGACACAGCACTCATTGCAGCTGTTGGCCAGCGGGCAGGGGCCGCAGGGCTGGCAGCAAGGGTTGCAGGGCTTGCAGCAGGACATGGCTCGGGGTCACAGGTGCACCTGGCACAGAGGGCAGGGAGAAGCAGAAAGTGAGTTCACATGAGGGGCAGCACTGCACCCAAAGCCCCTGCAGCCAAGGCACCTGCTGGCCCACATTGCACTGCCCAGCTCAAAGCCCAGCCAAGTCCCAGCCTCTCTCTGTCTGCACAAGACCTTCTCTCCCCTGCTCTTTCCCAGCACAAGCAGCTCCCAGTCCTGGGCTATGACAGCCCCTGTCAGCTGAGACCTTCAGCCAGGAAAGAGCTGGCCTTGAAGCAGCAGGAGGAGAAGAGGTTTCATACTCACCTGAATCCTGAGGAGAAGGAGGTGAGAGAAGTGGATGAGAGCACCGAGACTTGGGCTGCCTTTTATAGCAGCCCTGCACTGCCCCAGGCCCAGAGGCACCTTAGTGGAAGTCATAATTTTCTGACCAGCTCATTTCAAATGGGAACTATCCCAGCTAATGGTAGGGGCTGTGTCCTGGTTTCCTGTATTGCTGCCTTTTCATTTCCTGGCTTCTGCCACGTGCTTTCCTATATGAAAGGTATTTCTCAATGTACCAGGATGAGAGCATCTAGGATTTCAGGGCAGAAAGACATCAGTGGACAAAGAAGGATTAGATCAAGGGCCATTGGCATCCCATGCAAGCAGGCGTTTTGTACCTGTGTCATTCCTCTGGACTCCTCTGGTGACCATAAATCAACCCTACTCTCATGCTTCTTTTACACCTGCCCAAGGTCCGCGTGTGACATGACACATCTTTTTTTGTTTCCTTCATCACTCTGTGATCAGCGCTCAGAGTTATACTCAGGTGAGCTTCTGGTGGGAGGGTTTGACCTTAGTGCTGTACTTAGAGTACTCAGAAAAACTGTGCAGTCTCATTGGCCTCATCCCATCTCTGTGCACTCTCTGGTCCTTCTCTGATGCACTTGAGTCTATTCTGCCAGTGTGAAGGTTCCATGCAGAGCACATGTATCAGCGTGGGCTTGTGAGACCTTCCATCCTGAAAGCGTGTGCAGATCATGGTGGGGAACTCTCCCCCATTGCATCCTTGAGCCCCACAGTGTTGCCAGCTGCCCTTGCCGGAAGGAGACAGTTTACAGCTGTACGGTGCTGCCTTCAACCTTGCAGAGAAGTTTCCAGAGAATTGAAATGCCACCTCTGCCTCCTGCACCCTCCATTTTTCGCTTTATGTTTAGGTAGAAAAACCAAGAATGTCTGTCCACTCCTGCAGGCTGTAATCCCTAATAGATCCCTTCTGGTGTGACATTGCTGATGACAGGGAAGGGACACAGGGTCCATTATGTCCAGGCCAGAGCCTGATGCACATCTACAGCTCAGCAGACTGGTGCTGAGTGAGGCAGGGTCTTGGACCTTGCCTGTGTTCAGGTGCTGCCCTGCTGAGACATGTAGGATAGTTGGACCAACCCAACATAAAGGTTGCATAACTTTCCTTTGCTGGCCTTGCTAAGATCATTGCCAGGTGGTTCTGCTGAGAGGCTTCAGCCAGAACCAACTCTGCTTCCTATTGGGGCAGCTTTCAAGATTAGGTCCTAGTGCTTGTAATCTGAGTTAGATCTCCAGCTGTGACACATCTGTGCTGTATCTGTATTGCTCTGAACTTGGACTTTGATATATGTATAGCTTCCAAACTTGACCTGGGACCTGTCTCATGTCTGTGAGCACACGTGGTGATTGCTAGACTTTGGTGAACCCTGGTTATTGCCAAGGGACCTCATCCAGACATCATCTGATGATGCTAACATTAAGGAAATCACCATAATAACCTCCATGTGTTTCATTTCCTGAAGGACCTACCAAGGACATTGGATCACTTGGATGGCTGTATTTTTAGAGTATTTCTTCTGAATCTTTAAGCACAACTAGTAATACAATTTTTCTTGAGAATATTCAAATTTTTTTTTGCTTCCTATCTGTATCAACAGGAACAGTGTCTTTCTCCCACTGTTTTTCCTCTCGGAGGCCTTGTGGGTAGTGATACAAATTGTCCCTTGTACTTGTCTACCTGGAGCTGTCAGGTTTACAGCTTTTCTTTTCACAACCTTCCATCCCTCACTCTCCCGGCCCAACCACTCTTCATATTTCCCAGAAAGGGTAGTGCAGAAAATCTCAACTCTTTGTAGTCTCAAATTTCTGACATTCAAGCACCAAAGTCTGTTCCCCATGACCTCCAGGCTACAGGAGAAGTGGGAGGGAGCTCAGAGGAGCAGCATGCTACAGTGATCTCTTTCCTGTGAGAGACTGGGGTTATTGCCTCAAGGAAAAGAAAAGGGTGATGAGAGAACACTCACCATGCATTTATTACTCTCCTGAGCCCAGGATGGCATTACGCTTTCAATTTCAGCTGTGATAAGATAAAATATTTTCATAGAATGGTTTGTGTTTGAAAGGACCTGAAATATAAATTAGTTCCAACCTCCTGCTATGGGCAGAAGCACCTTCCACCAGGTGGGGTTGATTCAAGCCCTGTCCAACATGTCCTTGATCACTTTTGGGGAAGGGGCAGCCACAGCTTCTCTGGACAAGCTCTTCCAGAACCTTACCACCATCGCAGTATAAAATGTCTTCCTAATATCTAATTTAAAACTAATTTTTTTCAGTTTAAAGCCATTCCCCTTTTTCTTATCACTACATCCTGCCATAAAGGGTCCCCCTAACTTTCTTTAAGTACTGGAAGGTGCTCTCTTTCCAGACCCTTTTCTTTTTTGGGATGAACAACCCCAAATCTCCTGTCTTTGCAGCAAAGGTGTTCCACCCCTCTCATCTTTACAGGCCTCTTCTGGACCCATTCCAGCAGGTCCATATCCTTCCTATGGGCCTTTTATATTGGGGGTCCCAGAGCTGGAAGAAGTTCTCCAGGTGGGGTCTCATGAGAGGGAACTAGAGGGGGAATGTAGCTCTCCTCAGCCTGCTGGCCACATTTCTTTTGATGCAGCCCAGGATATGGTCATTTTCTTGAGCTGCTCCCCAAATGCATGACACATTGCCTGGTCATGTCAAACTTCTTATGTACCAAAACCGAAGGTCCTTCTCCACAGGGCAGATCTCAATCCATTCCCCATCCATCCTGTGTTTTTCCTTGGTTCTGCCCTAAACCCAACTGCAGAATCTTTCACATTATCTGCTTAGACTTCATGAGTTTTGCCCAGGTCTCAAAATCAACCAAGGTCCCTATGCTTTCTATGGAGCATGTTCAGTGCTGTCTGTAAAGGTGAGCCAGCCTTGCCTCAAGAATTCGTCAAACCCAGAAGGGATAGATTTCCATCCATTCCCACATCAGGCTTGTTTCCCTGAAGACAAAGCAACAGCTTCACTTGACAATATGGTAAATTAATTTTGTATTTTCATGAATGAATTAATTGCTGTGGAGGAATGCTCAGCTCAGTTATGTGTCCCACCATAACTTTAGCTCCCTTGGGCACAAACCATGGCAGATCTCAAACAGTGGTCTCTGCTCTTCCCAATGACATGTGATAAAACCTCCACCTATAATCTAGCTTATAGAGAGAACTGGATTTATTTTGTCTGGAGAAAAGGAGGCCAAGGGGAAAGTTTATCACTCTAACACTACCTGAAAGGAGGCTGTACTAAGGTGGGTTACTCTGCTCCCAAGTAACAAGTGACAGGACAGAAGGAATTGGCCTCAAATTGCACAAGAGGAGGTTTAGATTGGATATTAGGGGAAAATTCTTCTGTGAAGGGATTATCAAGCATTGGAACACACTGTTGAGTCACCACTCCTGGAGGTGATTTCAAAGAAGAGTAGATGTGGCACATAGGAACATGGGTTAGTGATAGAGTGGGCAGTGTTAAGTTTATGATTGGACTTGCTGATCTTGAAGGCATTTTCATGATTCTGTGACTGTGAAACTATCAGGAGTCTTGGGCATTTGAATTAGACAATTAAGAATGAGACAATCAAAAGGTCAGTGCAACCAGGAATTACCACAGATACAACAAACCTTTTCTTCTCTACATATCTTCTAACCCTGGTGAAGAATGGCCTTCTCATTGTCCTTGCATGGAGCAATCAGTACCTGCAGACTTTACTGCATTTGTTCTTCCTCATTTTATTCCTTTGTGAAGATCTGGCACTTCTCCACTCCTGGGTCAAAGCTGATGGAGACTTTCCTTGTCACCAGGAAAACCATTGTTTCCTGCAAGGCCTGGTCATATGTACCAGAATTGTGGTTGTCTTCACCCAGATGGTTCTGCTGACTGGCTCACCTGTATCCAGGAAAGCCATTGCTTTATCCAAGTCTCCTGATGTGGCCTCTGCTGATCCAGATCCAGCAGCTGTTCCCACCCCACTGTGTGTGTCAAAGAAAAGCAAAAAATTGGAGAACCTGTGCGATGAGGAAAGACTGAAGGAATGTAGCCTTTTCTCCCTGGAGAAGAGGAGTCTTAGGGAGGACTTTATCACAGTATTTTAGTGATGAAATGGGTTCTACCAAGAGCACTGAGAGTTTTTCAGCACAATGATCCACATGGAGGGGCTGTCCATGAGGGTCGCACACTGAGTTAAGAGGAACTGGAGATGATTTGAGTGCTGGCAACTGAGACCAGTGCTTGGGTCTCAGCAGGAGCAGGTGAAACCTTGGTTTCTGGGCATAGCAAGATGTGCACAGGGGCCAATAAGATGAAAGAGAAAGATCATGTCTGCCCTGAACTGAGGGCAGGAGCACGGGACACTCTGTATCTGAGTTGTTATTCTGAGCCCAGCAGTGCCTTTAAGAGTTTAGGAGAACATGGATATCTGGGTGATAACATGGATTAGAGCATTAATCAAGGGAAACAAATTTTTGTAACCCATCCCCACTGCTGCCATCTTTTGATCTTGTGGTTTCACTGGTGGTCTCTGTTTGTGCAGTAGTCAAGGATGTCTTCATTAGCTCCAAGGGAAAGAGCACAGAGGAAAATCCACTGCAGAGACTTCCACCCTCTGTTTTTTTTTAGCTTTGTACATGAACAGATTGGAA